GTAAGAGATTCAGAGGGAATCGAAGTGGAATTTTCTTCATCCAGGGTGTGCTGGTGTCTTAGAACTTATTGCCTGACCGGATGCAGGACCCTTACAACATTTAAGAAATACTTAGATATACAACTGAAGCGTTGCAACATGTAAAACTGCACACCAAGCAGTGTCAAGGAGAACCACAACTTCAACTAGGACAACACCAAGATCCTGGGACAGGCTAGGCAGAGACAAGCACGAGAATTCCTGGAAGCATGGCACTCCACGAAGCATGCTATTAATAAACACATTGAAATCGACCCCATATACATTCCACTATGAAGGAAAACCAGAAGTGAGGCAATGCATCTCAAAAGGACCCCAGAGTTTAAAAACCAGGCGGGAAAACACACCGACACTTCATCGGAGGCTGCACTGAGGATGTTACCAAGCATGGTAATGAAACGTCTGCAAAACAGCAAACCAGCTCGGCGAGCCAACCAACCTCAACACCCACAACCCGAGCTACAGATCTACTCCAAAACATTGGGTTGTATGGCTCCTCGACAACCAGAGATAAGGTCAGCTGAACAATCTTATTCTGTACTGTAAATTTCAGGGATTCCATTACAACTGCCTCGATGCTGCTACTTTCAATTTCAATACTTTCAAGGTTTTCCCTTTTCTCAACCTAGGAATCCCCCCAGTCATGTTTGTTCCCTTTCCTGCATTTCTGCTCTCAGCACTTGCCCTCCCCTTCCAGAACTACAAAGTGATTGAGTCTATACCTTCCACACCACCAGCTCTCATATTCAATACATCATTCCCCAATACATCCATCCACACATTATCCCGTCAGCATGCTAAACAGACTGCTCCCTTTGCAACACCCTGGTCTACTATTACCCCCTTCTCACGCATACATTGGAAATGCAAATTAACCCTTTTACTTCCTCCCTTCTGATCATTCAGAGCTCCAAATATGATCAGACACAATTGTGATTTATTTGAACTTCTTTCAATGCAATGTTTATTTCGTGGTGCAGGGCTCATGCTGCAATCTCAACATTGGGGTGACCAAACTCAGAACTGAGTGGCTACCTTCGTTCAGGTTACATGACTGAGCTTCTGGAGTCTGAGATTTTAATTCTCTGCTAACCTCCCATTCTGACTTCAGCCTCAGTCTCCTGGACTGTCCCAGTGAAGTTCAATGTGAACCGGAGGAATTTTTCAATTAGATTTCTGGACTCGTGGAATTCAACACTTCAGATCATAATCTTTTCAGGATAATTCAGTTCTCTCTCATCCATACTTCCTCCGAACCCATCTTTCAGTTTTTATCCCGTCATTCTGTTTACCTTAGAGTATCATTCCTTTTATCACTTAATCTCACCTACCTTTCACCATTAAATGTTTCATTTAGTTTTGTAATCACTGCATTATAATCTGGGCTTTGAGCAAATTGTCATAAGATAAAATTGGAGATGAACAAGAGACTCAAAAGCTGTGTGAAAGTGGACTCTGGTGTTGGGGTGTACCATTGGGATGGACTACACCAGAGCCATGCTGACGCCAGGACAACTGGTCACAAGTCTGTGCAAACGTAATTCAGGAGGAACATCTCAGAGGTTGTAGATATTCATATATACACAGGCCAATTCTTAGTTGTTATTCAGACTCGCTACTTATTTCCCATTCTAGCCCTCTCTTCACATCCTGGTCATGTGTCTATCAAGACGGACCTTAACGTTGATAATGTGCCTGCTTCCACCACCTCACTCTGAAAAATTTTCCCACACTTTTCTCCCTTGAACCTGTGCCCTATTTAGGTGGCCTTTCCTCCCTGGGAATAAGCTTCTGATTATCCATCCTATCTCCGCCTTTCAATTTTCTAGATTTCTATCAGATCATCTCTCAGCTGCCATCTTTCCAGTGAAAACAATCTGAGTTTATCCAACCGTTCCTCATAACTAAAACCCTCCAGAACAGGCAACATCCTGGTAAACCTTCTTTGCACCCTCTACAAAGCATCCACATCTTTCTGGTAGTGTGGCAACCAGAACTGCACACAATATTCCAAATGTGACCTAACCAAAGTTTTGTACAGCTGTAACACAACTTGGGGATAGCAAGAACTGCCAATGCTGGAGTCTGAGATAACACAGTGTGGAGCTGGAGGAACACAGCAAGCCAGGCAGCATCAGGGGAGCAGGAAAGAAGAAGGGTCCCGACCCGAAACGTCAGTTCTCCTGCTCCTCTGATGCTGCCTAGCCTGCTGTCTTCCTCCAGCTCCACATTGTGTTATGTAACACAACTTGCTAAGTTTTATATTCAATGCCCCAGCCAATGAAGGCAAGCAGCTCTATGCCTTCTTGACCACCTTATCTACTTGTGTTGACACTTTCAGGGATCTGTGATCCAGATACCCCTGTATGTCAATATTCCTAAGGCATCTGATATTTATGGTATAATTTACACCTGAATTTATCTTCCAAAATTCATCACCTCACATTTGTCCAGATTAATCTCCATCCGTTATTTCTCTGTCCAAATCTGCAACCCCTATCCCTGGTAACCTTTGGCAATCCTTTGCACTATCTGCAACTCTGCCAATTTTGGTGTTATCACAAGCTTACTAAATCAGACTATCTACATTTTCCTCCAGATCATTTATATATTACAAATGAAGGTTCCAGCACTGATCCCTTTGGAACAGCAATAGTTACTGTTCTGAAAAGTACCCTTCCATTGCTACTTTGTCTATGAGCAAACCAGTTCTGTATCCATCTAACCAGCTCACCCCGGATCCCACGAGACTCTGCATCCTGTACCAGTCTGCCAAAAGGTTTCTTATCAAACACCTTACTAAAATCCACGTAGATAACATCCACTGCCCTCATTCTTGTCACCTCCTACAAAAAAACAACTCAATCAGGTTGGTTATTGGTGACCTTCCCCGCACAAACTCATGCTGCCCAGCAATAACAAGTCCATTCGTTTCCAAAGGTGAATAAATCCTGTCTCTCAGTATCTTCGGCAACAGCTTCCCCACCACTGACATCAGGCTCACCTGCCTATAATTACCTGGATTATCTGTTTCCCTTCTTAAACAAAGGAATGAACACTGGCCATTCTCCAGTCCTCTGGAACCTCACTTGAGGCCAAGGAGGATGCAAAGATATCTGTTAAGGTCCCAGCTATTTCCTCTCATGCCTCCCATAGTGTTCCGGGATAGATCCCATCTGGTCCTGGGGACTTGTGTACCTTAACACATTTCAAGACAACCAATACTTGCTCCTTTAGTATGTTGACCTGCCTGAGAGAGTTCACACATCTTTCCCGAATCTCAATATCCCTCTCTTTGGTGAATACTGATGTAAAGTACTCATTAAGAATCTCACCTATTTCCACACATAACCTCCCTCCTTTACCCTTGAGTGGACCTAGTCTTTCCCTAGTCACCCTCCTGCTTCTAATATGTATAGCATGCTTTGAGATTCTCCTTAACTCTGCTGGCCAAGGGCATTTCATAGCCCCTTTTAGCCATCCTAATTCCCCCTTTAAGTTTCAGAAATCCATCCATCCCAATATTTCAGGGCTGGGTTCAATACTTGAAGTAAATCTGAAAAGGTAGCAGATTGGGGTATCCGTCAAAGGGTATCCTTTTTTTTTTTTTAAGTTCTGAGGAAGGGTCACCAGACCCAGAATGTTAACTGTTTTCTCCTCCACAGATGCTGCCAGGCCTGCTGAGCTTTTCCAGCAACTTTGTTTTTGTTCCCCTTTTATGCTCCTTCCTACTTTCTCTATATTCTCTAATGACTTAGTCAGTTTTTAGTTGTCCAGACCTTAGGTATGTTTTTTTTTTGACTAAGCTAATAATTTCCCTTGTCATTCAAGGTTCCAGAGACCTGCCATTCCTGTCCCTCATTTTCACAGGAACTGTGCCTGTCCTGCACTCTAATCAGTGATCCTTAAAAGGCTCCCACGACAGATGTGAATTTACCCTCAAACAGCTGCTCCTGATCCACAATCGCCAATTCTTGCCTAATTCTGTTATAGTTGGCCTTCCCCCAATTTAACACCTTTGTCCAAGGTCCACTCTTGTCCTCATCCATAAGTATCCGAAAACTTACGGAATTATGATCACTATTCCCAAAATGCTCCCCTGCTGAAACTTCGATTACCTGGCTAGGCTCATTTCCCAACACCAGGTCCAATGTGTCCCCCTCCATCGTTGGATTACCCACACACAGTTTCAAAAAACCCTCCTGGACACACAAACTGCTCTCCATCCAAATCCCCTGCATGAAAGGAGTTCCAGTCAGTTATTTTCACATCCTTCCAGAATCCGACTATACATCTCTTTCTCTATCTCCCACTGGCAGCTGGGAGATCTGTACTACAATCCCAGCATTGTGACCGCACCATTCCCATTCTTGAGCTCGACCCATAATGCCTCGCTGCAAGATACCTCCAGGGTGTCCTCCCTCAACACAGCTGCGTTATGTTCCCTAACCAGTAATATTTCCCCACCTCTTTTGCTTCCTCCTCTATCTCATCTAAAACATCAATATCCTGGAATGTTAAGCTGCCAATCCCGTCCCTCTTTCAACTATGTCTCGGTGACAGCAACGTCATAATTGCACTCAATAATCTACGCTCTAAGTTCATCCGTCTTACCTGTTATACTTCTTGCATTGAAGCAAATGTAGTCCAAGTCTCCAGTTCCGCTGAGCTCAGCAACCTCTCCCTGACTGCTTTCCCTCTTAGCTATATTTGCCTTAGACTCAAGCTGTTCCCCAGTCTCTATACTTAGTGACCTACTGCTCCGGTTCCCAACCCCTACCACACTAGTTTAAACCCTCCCGATAAATATAAATTTATCTGTGGGGTTTAAGAGGGATAAAGTATTCAGAGACAAAAGTATTAAAAAGGGGTAGAGAGAAGGCAGAGAATTGAGATTTAAAAGAACTGCCAAGACAAACAGAAATGGTGACATTAGGGTTGATCAAACGTGGGTCACTTACATAGTGCCATTGGTGTAGACTGCATCCCCGCCCTCCACATATTGAACTTGCGATGGATAAACATGTTGAACTGACTGCACCTGTTGAACCTAAAACAAATACAACAAGTATTAACCAAAACCAAAACTGGAATCTTGCAGCACTTTTTTTTCCCCCCCAAGATCCTAGGCCATCTGCAAGTCAAGTTGCTTTTCAACCTCTTTCACGTTCTTTTCAGACAATCCCAAAAAGAGTTATCCTGATCACAACTGAAAGACAATATCTTGGACAGAGTGCCGGGGGCAACTGATAAATCATGAAATCATGGCACTGCAAGAGGGGAGAAAAGGGGAGACAGGAAACATTAAAAAAAAGTCAACAAACTCTTGCATTCCTAAGCAACTCGATCATATTTTAGCACTGCACTAAAAGCTTTGGGAAAGAAATCAAAATAGCAAGACGGTCAAGAGAAGACTAGATTCGGCCACACTGCTGTCTCCTTCAGGTTTACCGCCCTTTCTTACCTGCTGCACTCTCTGAACCTGAAGTTGCTGTACCTGGCCTCCTTTCTGAGCAGAACCTGTTGCCTGGACCACCAGCCGCTGTGGGCAACAAAGAGTAAAGGTAAGCTACTGTCTCCTTCAATTACTTGTGAAGGATGCAAGGTTAAACTTTTCAGTTTGTTTGTTGGTCCAAGTATAAATTTGATTTTTAACAAATCTGCTCTATTATTCCAAGGCTGGATGGGCCAACCAATTGTTCCTCAGCCTTCATTAAATTCGAGAGAACTCTTCATGGTCATTTTGTTTGATTTCTCAGTTTTTGCCTTGAAAACATCTTTCCTTATTCTTCACAATCCTAAAAAGCAGCTGCCACAGGAGGAATCAGGAATACAAACTCATGACCATTGCCACACTTTTGACGGATACCCCAATTTGCTACCTTTTCAGATTTACTTCAAGTATTGAACCCAGCACGGAAATATTGGGATGGATGGGTTTCATGAAACTTAAAATTCTCTCCCAGTTCTTTTGAGGTTTTAAATCAATTTGTCTGAAATAGATTAATACTTTTGTTGGGGAAATCTCAAACACATTTAACTCTTGCACTGGAAGATCCCAATTCTTAACCTCAATACTGCTTGCCTAAATTCAGTGAATGGTATAAAATTCCAGGTCAAGTTGTCTAATTTCAGATGCCAGTTAATAGTCAGGATCAGACACACACATGCACAGACAGAGATTGGACTGCCAGTTATCACAAGATGTTGGCTTGGGGAACGAACCAACTTGAGTTCAACATCAAGAACTGCACTCATTCAGCTCAGCACTATGCTAGGAGAACTCTATGCTGCATGTGAACTGCGTTCCACAAGATCAATCAGCCTAGCACACCTGCTCTTTTGCAACATCTACAATGTTGCCTGATGCCAGTCTCTATCACTGTAAAAAGCTACTAGCATGCAACTTTCTGCCACATCTCACAGCAACCCTCAAATAGCATGGGCCATAGACCGGACAAGCATTTTTCATGTAAATAACAAAAAATAGAAACAGGCAACCATTTTATGACCCTCAAGCCTGCTCGCAGAGAGAGTCAGTAGATTCAAAACATTTTTACAGAATGCTTGCTCTATCTGCATGTTTACATTCTATTCCATTCCCATTTCCTTGCCTGAGATTTAAAATAAAAGAGCTTACATCAGCACAATGACATTTACTGGTGCACTATTTCATACACCACAGACTGAACATTTTCAAAATACTAATCTCAACAGATGAAAAAATTGAAGAACTCAATTGCTGCCCTTGGCTGTCCTGCTCAACTACTTCAGAGGTCAATTAAGAAATAATCATGCTTGTGTAAACTTTCCTTCCTGGTCCTTTAACCAGCCTGCAGCCTTTAACACCATGAGCCCACCATCCTCCTCCTCCATCCTCTCTCCACTCTCCAGTTGGATGGGATTGCTCTTACCTGGTTCCATTCACCTCTGAGCAGAGCAAGAGAATCCTCTGGAGTGGTCCTGCTCCACAATGTTACCCAGCAATCTATCTTTCACCCCTTCCTATGTCTCATTGACATGCCATTCCTCCGTGACATCATTTAAAGGCAGAAGTGTCAATTTTCACATGTAGAACTCAAAGCTGTCAGTGTAGTTCACCACCACTTCTCTCAATAACTCCCCCACTACATTATGAGACTGCTTATCTGACATCCAGCACTGAATGAGTAATATTTTCCTCCAAATAGTGTGAAGACGAAATCCATTGTTTTGGGTCCCTGCTCCAACTTCATTCTTTGGATACTGACTCGATCCTCCCTGGCTACAGTGAGAGATTTAACCCAGTCTGCTTGTAATCTTGATATCAAAAATTTGACAGATGAGCTTCCAGCCTCTCATAGGTGTCAAGATTATCAAGATTGTCTATTTTAAATTTCCCATGTCAGCCATTTGCTGAAGTTCTCTTTCATGCGTTCATTATCTCAAGACCGGACAATTCCAATGTGCTCCTGGACAACAAGGTGCAGGGCTGGATGAACACAGCAGGCCAAGCAGCATCATAGGAGCAGAGAGGCTGACGTTTTGGGCCTAGACCATTCATCAGAAAAGGGGGAGGGGAAGGGGGTTCTGAAATAAATAGGGAGAGAGTGGGAGGCGGATAGAAGATGGATAGAGGAGAGGATAGGTGGAGAGGAAACAAACAGGTCGAAGAGGCGGGGATGGAGCCAGTAAAGGT